AAAATTCAACATCATATTTCCGATTACATTAAAAAAGCATTAATTTTACCCACATACTCTTCCATTCACTGGGATTCAAACCTGGTATCTGAGGTAGATGGTAAAATAGAATGCTTGGCTATTATAGTAACAAAAAAACCAAGTGCAACTAAAGGAAAATTGTTGTGTCCAGGATTCACGATAAAACTGGGAAAGATCAGGCAACAGCAGTCTTTCACAGGAAGATATGCGATTGCACGTCATTATATAAACAGGCAAATCACATTTTGCTTTGACAATTTGACCGCGGCTATTTCAAAAAACATTTTAAAAACCCACTGAATGAAAAATATTCTGAGATATACTCAAGATGAAATAAATTGCATCAAAACTTTTTAACAAATGTTTTTATATTAGCGAAACGCTTTTAAATAAAGTAACAATTTGTGACCCGAGTGCTTACTGATTCTATCTTTATTTTAAAATGTTGGGAAAAAATATTAGATGATTTTATAAAGGTAACAACTATTTATGCAATAAATTTTAAATTTTAATAATAACTATTGAAAATATTACTTGCTATTAAATTTACTAATTATTTATAAGAAAAAAAATTAAAAAAATAAAAAGTTTTATTTTTATTTTTAGATATTAACGCGGAAAAGTTCTTTTAACATTTTAAAATGGAGTTGAAATAAATAAGCACTCAGGTCACGAATTTACTAATGATTTTTTTTTTTAGTATGATTGACAATTGAATATAAACTTTTTAATTTTTATTATATAAATTGTATAAGTATGCATTTTTTATAATAAACGCTATTATAAAAAATTATTTTGTTTTTATAAACGAAGTCTCTTTAATGAATTTTAACATAAGAATAATTAAAGTTAATACATTTAAAAAGAAAAACAAAATTTCTTTGAAAAAAAGACGAATGTTTTAGAAAGCTGTTACAATTAAATAAGTTTGATCTTTAATGCTTTTATATTATCGAAACACTTTTTAATGAAGTAACAAAACACTTCTAATGAATTTTTATAATAAGTATTAATAAACTGCTGTTGTTTTTATTTATATAATTATGTATTTTTTATGATAATTGTTAATCCTTTAATACAAATTAAAAGAAAAAAAAAGTACAAATGGTAAAACAAGAATAAAATGGTTTTTTAATGCTTTATTATTTACTTGTTTACATTTACACGGAAACCAATATTTTTAAATATTGTAAAAAAAAATATAAACTTTATTAAAATTAAGTGTGAGTATATTTTAAACAATCATTAAAAGTAAACTGTTCTTTGTTTATTGATGTTTAATAATAATAACAACCCTTGGAATTAGGAAAAATGATGTCGACCTCAATTTTTTAGAGGTCGGTATCAAGTCGGCAAAAAAATTTTATTTTAAAGTCTTACCATAAAACATAGAAATGTGGTCGGCAAAAAATTGACGATCTCAAACACTTTCACGTTGGCACTTAGGTCGGCATTGCCGCATACTGACCCTAATTCTGAGGATATATATATATATATATATATATATATATATATATATATATATATATATATATATATATATATATATATATATATATATATATATATATTATTAAGATTTTTATTCTTTTTTAAAATTTTTTTAGATAAGTTTTTAAGCTTATCCAAATATCTAAATTTAAAAATGCACTAAAAAAACTTAATTAAAAGAAAATTATTTTAGCGCATTTTAAAATATTGAAAACATGTCAAAAGCTGTGGTCAAATCGTCAAAACAAAGTATTTTTTGCGTGGTCATATAATTATGTGCGATCACAAGTCTTCCTTTGAAACACTGGGCAACAACAACCATAGATGTTGTTAAGACCTGGAAACTAGAAAAAATACTTTTAGTAATGATTTTTGACACAACTCCATTAAATTCAGGATAAATGTTTCTACAAAGTTAAATGAAGAACACTTCATAAAATAGTTATTTTGGTGTGCCTGCAGATACCATATCTTAGAAAGAGTTTTTTTTTTATTTAACAATTTTTGGAGAAGATTGATCTCCAAAATATGAGCCACAATGATGTATGGCCTAAACTTTCATTTAGTTCAGATACTACTTTTATAAAAATTAAAATTGAGGAACCAGCATTAAGTGTTTTAGCAACATTTCTAGTAGTACGTAAAGTTATATTAATTTTAAAACATCAAAAGCAGCATCGTACTAACTAATTTTTCTTTTTTTGTGATATTTCTGCCTAATTTGTATAGACCATCATCAGACATAAAATACCAATTTAAAAACCGTTACAAAATAAAATTTTTAAAATCATAAAGAAGTCATTACAAAGACGACATATAAAATTGTTTTGTTTTTTTATGATTTTCTTAAATAGTGGTCTCCAACTATTTAAACCAGCTTTTACCCCGTTATCCATGTTAAACAATACCGGAGATTGTTTAACCTCCTGAGATGTTTGCGCATAGTTAATTTCAAGCAATTTTCTTATTTTTCTTTTATGATAATTGTTATTGGGAGGCTGCATAAGTGCGAATTGGCACAATTGGCATAAGTGCAAACTGGCATAAGTGCAAAAACTTGTTGCAAAAACTGGCACAAGTGCAAACTGGCACAAGTGCAAAAACTTGTTGCAAAAACTGGTACAAGTGCAAACTGGCACAAGTGCAAACTGGCATAAGTGCAAAAACTTGTTGCAAAAACTGGCACAAGTGCAAACTGGCATAAGTGCGAATTGGCATATATGCGAACTGGCATAAGTGCAAATCAGTTACAAAAACTGACACAAATGCGAACTGGCATAAGTGTGAACTGGCATAAGTGCGAAGCAGTTACAAAAACAAGCATAAGTGCGAACTGGCATAAGTGCGAATTGGCATAAGTGTGCCAAATAAAATTTCAAATATTGGCATAATTACAAATTAGTATTTACAAATTAGTATATACTTATGCCAATTCGCACTAATGCCAGTTCGAATGTTTGCAAATTTATTTGGCGCACTTATGCCAATTCGCAGTTATGCCAGTTCGCACTTATGCCAATTCGCACTTATGCCAATGTTTGCAAAATGTTTTGGCGCACTTATGCCAATTCGCACATATGCCAGTTCGCACTTATGTCAGTTTTTGAAATGCTTCGCACTTACGCAAGTTTGCACATATGCCAATTCGCACTTATGCCAGTTCGCATTTACGCCATTCGCACTAATGAAACTCGCACTTATTCAGTTGTCCCAATTGTTATTTATAAGTTGCTCCAGAAGCATGCCAATTGCCATTCACGCTATTAGTTTGGTGTTCTATGCTTCTTTGTAAAATTCTCTTTTTTGTTTAATCCAATATAAATTTAGCAATTTTAAAGTTTTCATAAATTTTTTGACTAAAATAATTGATGTAACTGCTTTACAAACTTATCTTTTTAAAGAATTTGTTATATGTGTTTATGTTTACTGTAACTAAATAAATAAATATTGTATAGCAGTCGTCATTGTAAGAAAACATGAAAAGAAAGAATTCCAAAGTATTGATATTTGAGGGTGATATAGCTGGATGAATAAAAGTTTTTGAGCATAAAGAAAGTAATAGTTAACAGGTGCAAATTAGCCAAATGGCGGGTCATGCAAAATTATGTTTAGGTTAGTCAAACAATTGATAATAGTTTGCTTAAGCAGTAACAATGATTTTTTATATAGAAAAAAAAAAAAAGCAACAAGGAACCAGTATTAAAAGCAGAAGTATTAAGAAATATTAAAAAGTATTAAAAAAATATTAAGAGATGAATATCAAGAATGTTCCCAACTTGCTTTGTAATTACTGAATGCAAAACAAATAAATGCACAGTAACGCAAACCTGGGGTTTTCCATCATGTTAGATGGATGTATACAACTTTGTATACATCAAAAATATTTGCTTTTGCTGAATTAGCAGAGTATGAAGAAAGTTATATTTAGAAATTATTACAGTTTTGTAAATTTACAATACTATTTTATGTGAAAATGTAGCTTACATGTACAAACACAATTGATTCATCATTTGATTTGGAATTCTACAAAGAAATGCTTTTTTTTTTAAAGTTGACAATGATGTTGCTGTTGCTGTCCTTGAAACATATAATTGGCATCTTTGGTATTTAACCAAAAAAATGTCCATTAACTCACTATTTTCTGATAAGATTGTGATAAAGCAAAAATTGCTAAAAAAATTCTTAAAAATATAAGAGAAGACTGGAAACATGATTTAGGCTTTCCACAACTTCTTCTTTTGAAATTGACTACTCTTTAACTGATTTAGTTGAACCAAAATCAAGCCACATTCTAAATTTATTTAGATATTCAAACAAAGATGGTGGTTGATTAACCCAATCCCCAAAGTTTCTGAAAGCCAACACAATTTTTTAACACTTTTTGAGCATTTTAAATTATTGAAATTTGTAAATATTATAGCAGAACAAGTTGTCTGAACTAATTCAAGACTATGCAAAATCTATTACCATAGATAAAAGCCTTTTGCAGGAGAACACCACCAAAAAGTTCATCCACAGATAAATGAACAAACCATTCAAAAACTCAATTTTTGAAAATTTAAACAATGCTTTAATCTATATTACTATTACTTTTAAAATATTTTTATTTTGTTTTCAAAATTTAAAAAAAAATGACTTTAATTTTGAATTTCTTTGTTCTTAGTCCCAGTTTAGTCCCAGTTAGCATTAAATTTCAATTTATACCAATCATTTATTCACTTGTTTGTCCTAAAAATGTCAATGACAAATTTTAAAATTATTTATCAAGTAAATCTTTTTCGTTTTAATAAAAAAGTGTAGTTCTGAAAATTCATTGTTTTAGGCAGAAAAATATAATATTCAGGGGTGGGGATAGAGTATTATGAGAAGGAGGGGGATTAAGTGTCTTAGTGGGTGAATTTCTTTTGAACAAATTTTTATTTGGTTTTAGTATAAACAACTATATATAAAACTATTTATAAATATAAACATAGTTAAATAATAGATAA